ATTTTCAGTTTTTCTGTATCTCTGATAATAACGGAGAAAAAAAATAAAATAGAAATTCCAAAAATTCACTTTTTTCGATATAACTAAAAAACTAAAAATACTTTTCAAAATTTTCGAAGGCTCTTGATATGAGCCTCCGAATGCGCAACTTTTTCCCCATTTAAGCGACTTCGTATCTCCTACCGTTTCCGAGATCCCCATGCTGTTCTTGGACAGACTGTATATGCGGATCGTATAAAAATCCGCAACTCCGTATGTTTTCTGTACCAAAAGTAAGTACGAATTCAACTAACAACTAATCATATAGGGACTACTTGCGAATGCACCAAGAATTCAAATCAAATTGGAAGATATTTTCATTGATCTGTTGGTTTTCTCAGTGCTCAACATGTTCATTCAAATTTCAATTTGAAATAGAAGCAAGAAATCTTTTTTGTAGCCGATTTTAATAAGCTTCACTTCTTTCATGACATGAACCTATTTAAAGCATGAAATCTGATGAATTTCCTCTTTGAAGAACCAGAACAAAGAATGTATCAACTATTGAAATAGACCAATATCGAAAATCATCAGTTCACGCTAATATTTCAAATCACTGAACTAATACTGTTGTAGAACAGAGATTTTCTATTTTCTATGGTGAATTAGGTATTATACACAAAATTAAGAAACTACGGAACACGTCCCTAACGAACACTTGACCCCAATCTCAAAAATAACCATTTTTTCAGCTCAAGAATATTTTTGACATATTGACGTTTCGATCCTTTGATCAGGAATCAGTTCAGTGCTCTGATCCAAATCATATTCGTATCCAAATATTTATCGGTCGGTAATATGTTTCCTGTAAATATGGATTGTAACCAGGATGAGCTTAGCGAGATTTACCCACGTCAAGTATGTTTATCAAAGGTTTATCAGAGTAGGCGCCATCGAGAAACTTGCAAACGCCCTTCAATAGGGAGTAAGCGCACCAGTTAAATTTCTATACATCTCTGTTTCAGCCATGAGTGTCTGTTGATAGGCCGTGTCTAGAACCACGCTAACGTAGATCTTGTTTTCAGAATAGCTCCAAGCGAAATGCGTCATAAAGGTAGTGACATTAACGTTTCGCGTGGATCTTTCCCTCTTGATTAATTCAAGCTAATTTGGCGTGAAGCATTCTCTTGTGATTAGCTCACGCTGATTTCGCGTGGAGCAATGGGCGAGTGGACTGAAAATGAATTATTGGCATTCAATTACTCCACTGTGTCGTTAGGAACCTAAATTAATTTTTATACGTCAAATAAATGGTGACGTCAGCTTTTATGCTGTTTCGTAATTGGTCAGATTATCTTCCATTCCCACTCACGAAGCAAGGTTGTCAAGTCAACAATTATAATCAAGTTATCAAGAAGATGTGAAAGTACTGTCGTTGTATAAAAGTTCATTCTTGTCTCTTTCGAGCAACCAGCATGTCCAAATATTTCTAATACTCCATAACAAAATTTCATGTAAATGTTGGAGACTTGGCAACATTGTGTTGAATGCTTAGAAGGGACAAGACTACGCTCACAAGTCGTGGTCGTGGTGTTGTCACGTTCACCGCTCCAAATGTCCTCTAGTGTGAATTAATATAATTACTATTTACACAAATACACAAAATAAGCAATAAGCAATTAGCCACAGATCATAAGGGAACATTTTGAGACAATTGATTTTGTATTGCTGAATAGGAATATTACCAATACATAATTGCGAATTTATTAATGTTTGAATAATAGTAGATTGTTTTATTAGGATCAAAAGTTACTCTTTGTTTGACAAGCAAATTTTGCATTTGCGAGGCCGAGCGAAACCAAGCGAAAGCAAAATTTGCAAGTCAAACAAAGTCACTTTTGCTCCGAATGAAACATGCTATTTTCCCTGCAACCGAAAGAATTAACTCGAATAAACATGAGAAGTAACAACCAATGCCGTGCCATATGTATGCAATGCAACAAATATTGACAAATAATCCATGTGGTGAGAATATTCTACCTGCATTAACAGCAGGTTAGGTTTTCTAGGATGTTCGAATTGTAGTTTCAATATAAATACAACCACAGAGTGACATATTTGTGTATGGACCAGGTGCTCTAATGGCAAATACCGCGCCAGTGACAGCTATAGGAACAAGACGTGGAAAATGTTAGGTTAGTGAGCATATCAAAAATGATGATAGTGATTATTTATTCCTCTCCATACTACACTGTGTTCCTACACTGTGTTCGACTTGATAATCAAATGAAGCTAAACAATATCGTTGTTTGAGACAAAAAAACTATTGCTTGCCGTGATTATTCAAAAACAAGTTATCCATCCCGAGAATAACGAATGAAATACAGATCAAGCAAGTATTTGAATCTTGAAGGCTTCCTTGATCAAAACAAAAATACTTAACTGAGATGTTTATAATTCCAATACTAAACTATAATAAGGTGTATTTATATCTCCAGCATGGGTATGAAATGCCTAATCTGCTGAAATCGGAAACAAATCAGGTATGCGTCTCAACCCATATAATCAACCGTCACAATGTTGTTTATTCTTGATGACGTCCAGTAGATCCTTTTTAGTTCTTAGGAGCTAAAGTTCAACTTTAGCTCCTAGGAACTAAAATTCAACTTTAGCTCCAAGGAACTAAATATGTTGCCTAGCAACATACCTATTTTTGTGTCAGTGATAGAAACGTCAATTTAAGAGCTAATTTTGGTATCATAATGGACGACTTTTGTGTCGGTTGCAGAAAAATAATATTTCTGAAGTTTCCAATCGTATTTCAACACATGGCAACTGTGATAGGGTCTGCCCCTACTTAGGAAATCGTGACATCAGTTTGTACTTGCGGTAAATTTCTATCCGTTTGAAAATTACCGTGGGATTATTGATGATTCAAGCACCTTAAAATCGACCGAAACATTCTGAAAAATTATGAAATCGGAAGGTGTTAGAGTAATGATTCCATTTGAGAAATAAAAAAAAAATTAGTCCACTCGCCTATCCCTTACGATCAATCCACGCTAATTTCCCGTGAAGCATTCCCTTATGAATGATCCACGCTATTTTGCGTAGAGAGTATAGGTATTTTTCAATTCACTTTTTTACTACATATTTTGTTTTGATCCATTGATGTATAATAATTCGACTCGAGCAAAATCAGTTGACAAACTTGATGTTCCGAGGTAGGCTACACAATTGAGATAACAATAAAAGACAGAATTACGAGAAGATATACAGAACATCAACGACGTCCATCGACACCTTCAAATTGAAAATCCAGACATATTGGCTCTTACTGAGACACAGGTCAATTCATCCACCAATACGACCTGGGTACGAACTCCACACACGTTTCAGATTCAAGGGAGGTCTCTGCCTCTACTCTAAAACGAATCTCTCATGTCAACGAGAACAAACTTTTGAACCAAATAAGTTTGAAACAGAACAAATATCTTTGTTTTCTCTACTTATCACCAAATTTTCCATCCTATGAAGAGCTCTTCGAATTCTTGTCTCTGAAGCTTGACCAAATTCAACAGAACCATCCAGCAGCAGAAATCATCATCATGGGCAATTACAATGTACACAACACTGCTTGGCTCGTACACTCTAACAGAACGAATGAAGCTGGGCGACAATCCGAAACTTTCGCCATCACTCACGGCTTAGAGCAGCTTATCAAAGAACCCACACGAATTCCCGATGACAATAACGAGCTCCACTTGGCAATTCTGGCCACAGTCATCTCCACAACCTGCCCATTTTTCATTCCATCAACTGCTCCGGCACCCCCACGTCTTATATGGCATTACAATTCAGGAGATTGGGACGGTCTCCGCATGTTTTTCTCCGAGTTTCCTTGGCATAGAGTATGCTTTGACTCTGAGGACCCTTCACAGTGTGCTGCGGAAATATCCGAGATCATCATGCTCGAAATGGACACATACATACCTCATTCTTCGAAAAGATCATCACCATCGAAACCCTGGTTCAACAAAAACTGTTGCCTTGAAACAAACAGTCTACCATCGCTGGCGCAAAACCCTAAACTCGCGACTAGAGCAGGATACGTTGATGCCAGGAATAACTGCAGGTCCCTTGCTAAAGCGGTCGGAAGAAATTTCACTAATAGTTCATTTCCAAACTGTCCAAATCCGACGGCACATTAGCAACAACATCGCAGGAGAAAGCAAATATGTTTGCAGAGATGTTCGCAGCTAACTCTACTTCAGATTCCCAAGAGAAAGTGCCGCCAGACATTCCACCCGTTGGGAGTCGAATGCCCGAAATCGTCTTCCGTCAACGCACTATCAGACGAATTTTGCTTGGTCTCAAAACGAATAAGGCTAACGGTCCTGATGGAATTCCACCCATTATCCTCAAAAAATGTGCACCAGACCAGAATTAACACCGATTCTCTGCGAGTTGTTTACCGTCTCGTACAGGTCGGGTATTTTACCATCATGCTGGAAGACAGCTAAAGTCCAACCAATCCCCAGAAAAGGGAACAAGAACCTGCCCAACAACTACAGGCCCATTGCCCTGTTTTCAGTAATCTCCAAACTAACAGACTTTGCTTCGCTTTTCACATCCAATACCTACCTCCTGTCCCTATCCTCCCTACACTATAAAAACAGATATGTAAAATTCCAGTAAATAACGTTGGTTATTTTATGACCAACGTTATTTACCGGAATTTCACAGTCAAATCTGTGAAATTCATTTACAGTCCCTGTACCGTAAAGATAATACATAATATATACTGCTTTATCACTTCACGATTCTTAGGCAAATATTCGGTATTTTCACATGGTTATTTTGATTATTTTCTATAATAATACATAATATGAACCGCTTTATTACATTGCGATTTTCAGGTGAATATATTGTATTTTCACATAGTTATTTTCATTATTCTGGATATATTCTATAGGACTTTTCACGTGTGATTTAGCTCTGTTTTTTTACCAGGTACTTTTTCATTGGTTTATTAGGTAATGTACAATGTACTTTTGTACTGTTAATTCTATATTTGGAAGGTTGAGATTTTTGTAATAGAAAAGCCAATTCCAAGGGAAACATTTATTCAACATAACGAACAAATGTACAAGTTTTTTTCTTGTCCTGCTATTTCGAACACCTTTAGATAATTCCTCCCTTTCTTTGTGGCTCAATTTGTCGAAAGGAACTTCCAACTCCAACCAGAAATTTTCGCTATTGCAGTCGATAATTTGATGTATTTCAATATTTTGAACGTTTTCTTGCAGAACTTGAGGACCAAAAGTTGAAGATTTTTCAAAATTAGCTGCACTTTCGAAGTCCATATTGAGAAATTGATTGGCATATTCCTCGGAGTTCTCTGCAATAACTGTATCGGTGGATGGAAGGGAAACCACCAAAGAGCCACTACCTTGACTTGTAGTCGAGAGTGATGATAGAAGATTACGAGGAGTCCATGTTTGTTCTTTCTCCAACATGATCAAAATTTCATTGCGTACATGGATCAATACATCATCGTCCACGGTAGTCCCATTACTTTCCAAAACTAATGTGGACCCATTTATGCCCATCTTTGCTGAGGCTGAAAAATTAGGAAACTTTAGAATTTTGAACGGAAATGTATCTTGTTTGTTATTCATAAAATCACAGCTCCTATTTCAATTTTTATTCAGAACTGATGTGTAATAACTCATCGAACCCACCCTATGCATGATGCGTAATCTTACCTTTGAGAATTAATGTGGCATACTGGTCTTCATCATTAGGATCTATACATATCAATGTTTTCTGGAGTCGATTCTGGGACCAAATCGTGTATACATTGTTTTTCTCCATCTGAAAATTCAAATTTGTATAATCAACATCGGGACGGGCTTATATCAAGCTGTATCAAATACCTACCCATGAAAATTTCTGAAGTTTTCTATAATCAAAGTAGTGAAAATCATATATTTCTCAATTTCTAGTGATCATTTGATTTTCATACTGCTCCAAAAATTTACGGCACCCCTCATACGTTTAAAATACATATTAGGTGGTGTGTTAATTTCTTGGAGCAGTACATCAGATATTATATATAGAGCTGCCAATTCTTAATAGCAAGAATAAAAAAACTGAGACCTATGGATGATCTCTACGAAATGTTGAGGTTGATCAAGTATTTATTAGTGAAACAGAAAATTGTAGTGATACAAAATTTGTAGAAAATCGAAAAAAAACACAATGTTAGTTAGTCACTGTTGCAGTATTGATCTATAGTTGTTTGAATGAAATAATTGTTTTACCTTAAAAAAACACTTTGAACTGCGATGAACATTTAACACACTCGTCACCGTGTCACCGACATCAACAACTAATTTATTTGAGGTTATCCGTTTGTGGTTTTTTGGCGTCCTCTGTTAGGCGCGCGGGCATAGGCCTAGACGTCACGTGCATAATTCCAGTATAGGTACCTGAATTTTACTGAACTCTTGTAGTTTCACGTTATTCCCAAGGAAAAAAGCAGTGTAATTGGGATTCGCATAGTGAAATGACAGTATTACAATTGATTATTCAGTAACGAACTGAAATTTAAATGGTAAAATTAAAAAAACCTAATAAATACCAGAAAAGTACTATATAACATGGGACAAATACCTATTTCAGGTGAAATTACTGGATTCTGCGAAAATCCAGTAAATATTCTGCATTATTTTACAGATAATATACTGTTTTATTCCACCTATTTTTATCAGTGTAGGAACGCACGATGTTCTTTGAACATTATAGGGATTCCCTTTCGTGCGCTCCAAGCGATAAAAAAATAAAATAAAATACACATATATATGTCTACATCTTACATCGTTGAAAACATCAACGCTGATAGACCAATCAAGATTGAAAGATAGCTAATGTTTTCGAGATAAGCACACGTTGACTGTGGCTTGTAATTGGTCAGATTATGTGATGCGTAAAATAGTCATTACATTTTTCATTGAGTCATTTAACGTAAGTCCGTCATCCATAAATTGAACACATCAATGCTAAGAAAATGATTTATTGAAAACAAATTATTATAATCGGGTGCTGTTTGTCATAATGATTGACAGTTCATCATCATAGTTGATTCTGAGACATTTTCTGCCACGTTTAATGATTCAATAGGAAAATCAATTATTATTAAACAATCAATTTCTCGTCGGCGTAGCATCAAGAAGAAAATCTGAGAAAAAAAAGATGCCGTTTGACAAAAAAAGTTGACAGTAGATATTCACAATTGAAATTGGAAAAAAACTTATTGGTGTCACCTTGAAGTACATGACAACTCATTTCTTTTGGTTTTTCGAAATCGAATAATAAATAGCGGCGCTATATGGCTTTGGGTGTTTTTTGTCGAATAACCTGTATATATACTTCAGGAAATACCTTGTTTCTCACACCATCATAATTAATGCATTTTCATAATAAAACAATATATAATATCAGCGTGGATTGATCATATAACGGAATGCTCATGCGAAATTAACGTGGATTAATCAAGACGTCACTACCTTCATCACGCATTTTGCGTGGAGGAATTCTGAATACAGGATCGACGTTAGCATAACAACGGTATACACCAAATTATTTTGATGAAGTTGAATTGGTGATGAATCAAGACATTTTACATTTTTGACAGGATTCAATTTTTTTTCAGCATTACACCTGTCGTTATGAGTACATCAGACTCGATTAGAACAGTCACGGCACACTCAGATGGAAAATTAAAAATGAAATCAAAATCAATGTTGAAGTTTGAGATGTCACTCATGTATGGTACCACTGGATTCGGAAAATTATACAGAATTCGAAAATGCAATGATTGATATAATACAGGATATTCCATTCGATAAAAAGTTATTCACCACTTCCGTGAAACCATATAACAGGAGGTCACTAATGTGTTACATAACGAAGTCGATTACACAAAAACTTAATAAAAATCCAACAGAAAACGAGATAAAAGTAAAAATGTATAACTTTCTTTTCTACAATCCTTCGAATAAAGCGATTTTGTAGAGCAGTTGTTGCTTATGGGAATGAGTACCTCGACGACATAACTGGGACTCCCGGTTTCATTGAAAC